GCGAACTCCGAATGCAAATCGTGGAAATGTGTCAAGGACTACCACTTACCATCGTCATTCTTGCTGGAATTCTAGCAAATGAGGACCAATATAGTTGGAAAAAGGTAGTGGAAGGTTTAAACTCGAGCATGCTCTCTAGTACAGAACAATGCACTGCTGCATTAGAGTTGAGTTACAACAATTTACCAGATTATTTGAAGCCATGCTTTCTATACTTTGGAGCGTTTCCTGAAGATCATGAACACGCTACAGAGAGGTTGAATTGGTTATGGGTGGCTGAAGGATTTGCACAAAAAACTCAGTTCAAGAGCGCAGAGGATGTGGCAAATGATCACATGATGGCTCTTATTAACAGAAGTTTAGTCATGGTTTCCAAACAAAGATCCATTGGTGGAGTCAAAACCTGCCGTGTTCACGATTTGCTTTATGAGTTTTGTGTAAGAAAAGGCAGACAGGAAAATTTTGTGCAGCTGGTGAGCGGGTATGATGAACTATATACTATCAGTGTGCCACACAATCTACGCCGCTTATGCATCAACTCTAATCCAGGACACTTTTGCAAGTCCAGGTTATTTGCTCCCACCATCCGTTCTCTACTATTCTTCAATAATCATGAAAGCTACCAACCTACTGTTACTGACATACCATTCCTTGTTGCCATCAAACTTGTAAAAGTGTTAGATTTGAGCCAATTAAATCTAGGTTCTACTTTTCCTAGAGAACTGGAATTACTTGTTCACTTGAGGTACCTGGCAGTTGTTGGAGATCTGGAGTCAATTGCATCATCAATGTCCAATCTCTTGAATCTGGAAACTTTAATTCTGGAAACGTTTGATAGCGCTGTCTCACTACCAGATACTATATGGAATCTTAAGAAACTGAGGCACTTGGTATTAAAAGGCGACTGCCTAGATGAATATTGTGAGCTTCAGTTGCCCACCTACAATCTTGAGAATGCTGAACATTTGTGTGATTTGAATACGTTGTCCAGAGTAATGCTTCCTTCTTGGGATACCATTGACAAGATGTTTAGAAAATTTCCCAATATCCACAAGCTCAAATGCAGTTTCTACGAGGCTAATGATTCTAGGGATTCAGCTGACAAGGTTCTAGCGCTTGACTTCTTAAGTGGACTAGAATCACTCACTCTCAAGTTCATTAACCATACAGGTGTTCAATGCCAGTTTGAGTTTCAATTTCCTTTGACAATTAGAAAATTGACTCTATCCGGCTTTCTCTTCCCTTGGAGCAAAATATCAGAAATTCAAAATCTACCCAATCTTCCAGTTCTCAAATTACTCGATGGGGCCTTTCAGGGAAAAATATGGAACATGGAAGAAGAAGAGGGGTTCCCTAAAGTTAGTTTCTTGAAAATTGCTTCCCTGGATATTGTCAATTGGACAGCCTCCGAGTACATGGACTGTTTTCCTAGTCTAAGGAAATTAGTATTGGAAGATTGTCAGTTTTTGGAGGAGATCCCTTCTGGTTTGGGGAGCTCAACTCTTGAAACAATTGAGGCCTCTGATTGTCCCTTCTCTGCAAGTTTCATACAGCCACTTCAGGAGGAGCAAATGGACATGGGAAACACTGATCTGAAGATCCACATTTCATCCTCTAAAATGAATTACTGATCTTCTCAAGCATGTCTAGTTTGGGCAGCCAATTTACTCATTTTACATGTTGTTTTTCTTTTAAATCCATTGCTTTTGTACTACTGGTGGTTTTGTTGCATCGGTCTAGCATCAAGATTATTCATGCCATTTCAATATTCTCTATTCTGTCTCAAGTCAGTGTTGGTAGGATCACTTCCCAGTTTTTATGTTGTTCTAAAGATTTAGATCAATGAAGCTGCTGGATTTTTTTCCTCTCAAACTTTAGTTATGATTCCAAAAATGTTTCACAACTTATTTGAGTTAATACTGCTCAGATGCACTATAAATACGATTTTTTCATCCAATTAGAAATTTTGTTCCAATAAGCAATTGATCCATTAACCATAGTAAGAACTAATATTATACTCGTTTAGTATAATTTCGCTAGTATAACTTGTACAATTTTCAAATACTCTAAAGATTGGTTGTATTTGTCTACAAAAATACAAAAGATATAATGAACTTTGCTTGGAGTATTCTTCAACGTTAATATTTCAATCGATGATAAAATTTGAAGACTTTTATTAAGATAAATATGTATTTTAGTAGTAATGTATACTGTATAGAACAACAAAGACTTGTATCATACCCTTTTTCCATATATGTAAATATAAGATAAAAAAAAAGTTATCAAATTATAATTAATTGTAATATTTCATACTTGCAAAAATGTTAAAAAATCAAAGGTTATTATAGCATAACATCTAAAAACCATAATAACTTTTGTCTTTTTTGTATTTTTATTGGGTGTTTTAGTGTATTTTTTGACATGTTTCTGTAGTTGATGTAGTAGGAAAAAAAAGTATTGTTTTTCAAAACATGGCACAAGATCATTTGCCAAACACACCCTAATGTTTAAAATTTTTAATGGTCACACCACAATTTTCTTACTGTAAAATTTGGCAATGCAGAACAAGCCAATCACCACTCGCTTCTGAGCACTCATCATTATGTAATTTTATTATCCTTAGGGAGCAGTGAAAAATACTAGCGTCATTGTCACCTAAGAATTTGCCCCAAACCAATGCCAATATGTTACTCATAATTTCTCGCTTGTGCAACTTGGAAATATTCATATGGAAAAAATACAATTTTAGTCTCCAATATTTAGTACCTATGCAATTTTAATCCTTAAAGTTTTAATGAAAACAAATTTAGTCCCATATTTAGCACCTACACAGCTTTAATCCCTAAAGTTTCGGCAAGGAAAATTTTGGTCCCCCAATGTCTTGATTTTAAAGTAGATTCTAAACAAGTGAAAATATGTTTGCAATTATTGATAAAATCTAGTCATGTGTCCATTTATTGAATTTAATAATAAAAAAGTAAAATAGCGGCTAAATCCGAACGACAAACTTAAGGACTAGTAACTCACGTGTTAACACGTGAGTAACTAATTAATCAATAAAAAAAATTAGTTAAGCTAAATAATTGAAACCAGTTGGATCACTCAGTTCATCGATCCAAAACTCATTTTCTAATTTAAACCCAATGACCCCAAGCCAAAGACCTTAACGCTCAATTTTTGCATTTAGTTTAACAAACCTTTTTTTTCTACTTTCCTAATTAATTAGTGACTCACGTGTCATGATGTGAATTATTCTTATTGTGTTAAAATTGACCGTTGTTTTGCGTCTTCTTCTATAAAATCAATTTAATGAATTTGATTCTGTTTATAATTGACAAAAATCCTTCAATTGTCCTAATTTTGTTTCAAATTTAGGTTGAGTAGTAAGGTGAGAGGAATTATAAGTAGGAGATCCTGAATTCAATACCTCCCGCTTACAAGAAAGAAAAAAAAGAAAAGAGTTTCAAATTGAAAACCCGAGTACTGGATATGTTTTTACGGAAACTGTACGGAATCAATTTTTTGTTTTAATCAAAACTTTAGGACTAAAGTTTCAGAAGTGTCAAATTTTAGAAATCAAAACTATATTTATCCCTTTCCATATTTAACGTAAGCTACCGCTAGGTAAGACCGCAAGAGGCTGGTGTGATTTCAAGTCAACTGCATTGGGCTTTTCATGGTCGAAATGAGGCCTAATAGATTTTGCCTCATTCAGCCCGTTGATTTGAGTTCAAATCAGCAGCATAGAAGACTCTCTGGCCCTTGAATCAAATCAAGTCAACGGTCTACCTGGCCTCATTTGGTCTGCCCATATTGTATATTGATCAAAATAATAATCATAAAGATCTAGCTAGCTTTCATATATATATTTTTTTAAATTACTGAGCCCGAGAGGGATGGAAAAGGGTGATCGAGAGAGATAAGTTTTCATACTGGCTTGCCCTTGTGGGGTTTGCCATCCCACATCGGTTCTGGGGGGGTTTGGGTTTGGTTTATAAGTCCCTGGGAGGACCTCAAGAGTTGCCGGCTTTTGAGGTTTCTTCTGGGATTAGGTTTATAAAAGCCGAATTTCTAGACTTCAGTTTAGAAAAGGTCAAGAGAGAGATAAGTTTTCATGGAAATTTACACGTAAACTAATTGAATCACACAATTGAAAGCAGATGCAAAGTCTCTTTCTTCAAGTCAGATTGGTTGCTTACATCAATAAAAATTTTGCCATGTTGTAATATAATAATTTCTCATCACTGATTGGTAACCTTCAAATTGGAAATTAAAATTTTCCAGTCGCATTCAGCAAGTTGTCGGGAATAGAACTACTAAATTGATCGAATGGCCAATGGAGAACTCTTAGAGTTTTCCCATTATTCAGGTTCAAGATTTAGAATTTTGGAAATGACTCTTAAAAAGTCTCCTTGTTGTCAGGTTTGCAGTTAGAATCATAGCTGGGGATAGAAATGATACGAAGGAGGGTAGGAGCTAAAAAAGAAAAAAAAAAAGTTATCGGGGATGGGATCAAAAATAAATAAATCCCTAAAAAGAAATAAATAAATAAATAAAAGAAAAGGAAAACTACATCAGTGAGGCTACATGTACATATGTACAGGTTGATTACTAAACCCGAAGGCAAGTTCATTGACTTTGGATAAAATAATGTCAGTGCAGAGCCCAATAATTCAGAAGCTCTCCATTTCTTCTATGATGGCAAAATTAAATAACTACGTCCAGCTAAGAACAGGATAAAGAAAAATCTAATAACTATATGTTCGCCAAGCATCCATAACCAACATGGTTGGAAGCTATCAATGAACCTGCAATCTTACTTCCAAACTCGAGAGTTTTCCTAGTTTCCAGTAGTGACTATATAGGCACTACTAATTTCTTGAGTAACTTTGATTTCTCTCTCTCTCTCTCTGCTCTCTTTTAAAAAATATAGGAGTTATTTCAATCCATCTCTAAATTGGATTGACTTTTGGTTCCCTTATCAATCTTCCTTTCACCAGATGGCCTCCAGTAGTCTTACATGCATTTCTTCCATCTTGGATGATATGCAGTTGCTGGAGAACAAATGTCCAGACTATACAGATCATGATTTCGCAAGCCTGAAAGGGGGGCTAAGAATTTTGAGACCATTCCTCATGAGTGCGAGAAAGTGGGGCAACAATGATGACGAAAATCTAGCAGCTCTTCTATTAGGCACTGAAGCTGCCATTTCCAAAACTGGAGAGAAGATCCATTCATTTTGTCTTCGTTTGGAACTGGAAGGTCGAGTTTCTGCCAACGATCTGCGGACTCTGGTCTTTGATTGTATGGCAGACTTTCCTTCCGATGAAGATATAAAGGGGTGGTACTTCGTTTTCTCATATCGCTCGTTAAAGCAGTCTAGTAACAATTCACTGATGAAAACAGAAGACCTTATCGAATTCATGGATTATCTTCTGGAGAGTTTTAGGGACGATCATTATGATATAGGTGTTCTGTTTGAAGCTGTAGAAGGACCAACCGAAGGCCTTGAAGAGAAGCTGGCGTTCTTGAAGAACTTCATCAGTTTCGTTGCACTGCACGGGATTAAAGATGAGCAATTGGGACCTTTATTGGCTCACACTGAACTTATCGCTGTCAATGCAGCATGCCTCAGTTACTGGTCGTGCTTTGGCGCAGATGATGAACTGTACTTATCAATTAGGGATGCTACGATGGAAGGGCTGCAGAAGATCATTCCTGTGGAATCCCATGTCCATGAGACCTGTGTCCAGGCTCTGATTGCTTCAAAGTTATCAGCACGATCATATGTGGAAGCAGATGAGCAGATATTGCGGGAGATCATTGATTCTCTCCTATGTAATATTTGGTGGATGCTCAAGTCTGGTACTTGTCGTATGATCTCTATTAAGGATCAACTGCAAATGCTTTGTGATGGACTAAGATCTCTAAGAACCATTTTGAAGGAGAAGGAGAAGCCCAACAAGTTTAATGAGAAAATGAGAGATCTTACTGGACTCGTGATCTGCGATGCGGGACTTGTTTTTTTAACTCTTTCTCTGAATGCAATCAATGATGGATGGGTCAAGGAAATGGATCTTGTGCCTTTAGATCTGCTGGAAAGGATTAAGCTCATAAAGGCAACAATTGCAGAGGAATGTCCAGGAACATCACCATTCAACTTTCCCAAAACTAATGAGTTGGGCTTTGTTGATTCTCTTCTAAAGTATATGATGGATCTGAAAAGTCCTGAGGCTGGCACAGCTGCTCTTGTAAATCATAGAGTTCAAACAGTCCAGGAAGAGCTTGCCTTCTTTCCCTCTTTCTTGGGGAAAATTGTGGATTTGTGCAATGAAGATGAGGAGCTCCAATCACTTTGGGATCGCGTGGTGTACTTGGCATACAGGGTGGAGTTTCTCGTGGATTCCTTACTAGTTGGGGATATTGTAGATTCTTCTTCAATTTCATTTGATTCCATTGTAGAAGAAATTAAGATCATCAAATCTGAGGCCTTGAAGATTTCTGATAGCAAAAGACTTGATGTCAAGGTTAAGGAAGTTACCAAGACACTCAATCACCAGCCGTCACCGGTATTTAAGCCAACAATCAATGACTTGGTGGTAGGAATCGAGGATGAGGCGGCATCTATAATCAATCGACTCAGAAGAGGATCAAACCAGGTGCAAATTGTTCCAATTGTAGGTATGCCAGGACTTGGTAAGACCACTTTGGCTAAAAAGGTTTACAATGATTCGAATGTGATGTCTCATTTTCACGTGCGTGCTTGGTGTACTGTTTCCCAAGATTATCACAACAAACATATGTTGCTTCAAATTTTGACTTCTCTAGATTCCAAGCTTCCTGACAAATATTTTGAGATGAGCGAAGAAGATCTGGCATTAGAAGTCAAAAAACGGTTGCAGAAGAATAGATACCTCATTATTTTGGATGATATATGGGAGACTGAAGCATGGAACGGATTGCAAGCCACATTCCCTGATAATGGAGATGGAAGTAGAGTTATCTTCACAAGTCGATATCATGATATTGCTCCACAAGATAAACTTGACAAAGAACCTCACCGTCTTCGTCCACTCACTCATGATGAGAGTTGGGATTTGCTGACAAAAGAGTTATTTCCTGGAAATTTGCCACCTCCAGAATTATGTGAACTTCAAATGCAGATCGTGGAAATTTGTCAAGGGCTACCACTTACAATTATCATTCTTGCTGGAATTCTTAAAAATGTGGACAGACAAGGTTGGAAAGAAGTTGTAGAAAGTTTAAGTTCGAGCGTTGTTTCTAGTACAGAGCAATGCACTGCTACACTAGAGCTGAGTTACAACAACTTAGCAGATAATTTGAAGCCATGCTTCCTGTACTTTGGAGCATTTCCAGAGGACCATGAACACAATCTTGATAAGTTGATTTGGTTATGGGTCGCTGAAGGATTTGCCCAGAAAAGTCAGTTCAAGAGTGCAGAGGATGTGGCAGATGATTACATCATGGATCTAATAAGCAGAAGCTTAATCACGGTTTCTAAAAGAAGATCCACTGGTGGGATCAAAACTTGTAGTATTCACGACCTGTTACATGAGTTTTGTGTGAGAAGAGCCAGAGAAGAAAAATTTTTTCAGCGGGTAAGTGGGTATGATGAACTGCAGGCATTCAGTATGCAACACAACCTACGCCGCCTATGCATTCACTCTGAGCCAGAACACTTTTGCAAGTCCAGATTATTTGCTCCCACCATTCGTTCTCTGCTATTCTTCAGTCATGATGAAAGGTACAAAAAAAAGATGTTCCATCTATCATTGATTTTTGGCATCTTTAAACTTGTTAGAGTGTTAGATTTGAGCCACATAAGTCTAGGTTCTACTTTACCAAGAGAACTAGAATTCCTTGTTCAGCTGAGCTATCTGGCAGTTCTAGGCACCATGAAGTCCATTCCATCATCCATAGCCAATCTAACAAACTTGGAAACTTTCATTGTGGGAACATTTTCTCGTATTGTTTCGCTGCCAGATACCATATGGAATATGAAGAAACTACGGCATTTGCACATTAGGAGAAGGTATAGATATTATTCTACTTTTCGGTTGCCCACCAACAATCTTGACGATGCTGCAGAGTTATGCAATTTGGTTACCTTCTCTGACGCAATTCTTTCTTCATGGGAGAACGTGGACAAGATATTGAGAAAGCTTCCCAATATTCGCAAGCTGAAATGCAGCATCGAACTCCTTGAATCTGATTATCCTGCTTCGGGTGCATCCGACAAGATTCTAGTACTTGATTTTCTAAGTCAACTAGAATCACTCACTTTGAAGGCGAAAGGTTATGTTCAATGCCAGTTTGAGTTTCAATTCTCTTCCACCATTAAAAAGTTGACTCTGTCGCGCTTTTACTTCCCTTGGAGCAAAATATCAGCAATCGAAAATCTACCTAATCTTGAGGTTCTCAAATTACTTCGCGGAGCATTTGAGGGGGAAGAATGGAACATGGAAGAAGAGGGGTTCCCTAAAGTTAGTTTCTTGAAATTAGCTTCCCTGGATATTGTCAAGTGGACCGCCTTTGAGTGCGAGGAATGTTTTCCAAGTCTAAGGAAATTAATTTTGGAAGACTGTCACTATTTGGAGGAGATCCCTCCCTGTTTGGGGAATTCAAGTCTTGAAATAATTGAGGTGTCTGATTGTCCCTACTCTGCAAGTTTTATAAAGCCACTTAAGGAGGAACAAATGGACTTGGGAAATACTCATCTGAAGATCTGCATTTCATCCAGAGAAATGGACGACTAATGTGCTCAAGTATGTTTAGTTTGGGCAGCCAATTCACTCATTTTACTTTTCTCAATATTTTTTTTTTTACTTTTTTACTGTAACTGGTTGTGTTGCATCAGTCTAACATCAAGATCAAGTTATTCATGTTGTTTTAATGTTCTTTGTCTTGTGTCAAACTGTGGGGTGAGATCATTTCCCTGGATATTTGTTGTTTTTAAAGATTCAAATGAATGAAGCAGTTGTTTTTGCGTTTGTCAATTTTAGTTATGCTTCCAGAAAATGTTGCACATTTTCTTTTGGTTTGGTGGGTTATGGTGCACTTTACCCTTTCTTTAAATTAATACCAATTAGCCGCGATATAACTACAAATTTAGTCAATCTTTTCATACCATTAGTAATTTGTTGCAAAAAGAATGAATGTGATCAACTAATCTAAGTTAGGGTTGAAAGACAAACCAAATTACTTACTACTCAAATTGGGTTCAACTAGGTAAAAACTTATTCGACTTTGGTTCCGCAACTAATCAAAATAAATTTGAACAATGTTTTATGTTTGATAATTGTTTAAACTCGGTTCAAATTCGGTTTGATTAGTATAAAATTAAAATTTATAAACAAAAAATTTCAAGCCACTTGAGCTCAACTCAATAAATGCTCTTTTGAGTTTCATTCGACAAGTAAGTAAATCAAGTTTGAACATGATTTTGAACTCGATAAAATAGTCAAACAAACTTGAACAGTACAATATAATCCTTGATTAAAATTCATTGACATCCCAAATCTGAATATTATCATTTATACAGCTCCTTTTCATTGTCTTTTTGTACAATTTCTTAGTCTAATTGTTCAAGTTCTAATCTTCCCAACTCCTACCCGTGGTTCAACAATATAACCAGCGATCTCAAATCTGTTTGGTTTAGCGTTCCTGCCGTCCAACGCGAGCACAATAATAAGAATTGATTAATTATCAAATGCACCCTTAGAATCTCAAGAAGGTACTAAATGCCTTAAAAATACTCTTGCTCGAGCAACTTGCATTTCTAGACTAGAATTATTAGGATTACCAAGATTCTAACCAGGATTAACAATTTTTTCAGACTAGGATTATCAGACTAATTCATCTGAAAGATGGATCAAAACCGCGTTGTCACTGATAGGTTCCCATTGCTCACTTAATGATTTCATTATAGTAATTAATGAAACAACAAAACCCTCGCCAGCTAGATGCATCATGATACACTAACAACAGTATAATACAGGGTACTACTCCTCGGTTCAATGGAATTCAACTATTCTATTAACCATCATAAGATAAAGGCCTGACTGCAGGTCAAGAATTTTAATAGCTTTATCTACAGTAAAATCCAAAGAGTGTGTACATAGCATATGGTGGAAGTCACTCCCTTAAACCCTCCTTGATCCAATTGAGCCGTAAGAGTAACGGTACATACATTTCGTTTAGAGGTAGGATCGAACATTTCAATTTTAGACTTAACAAGGTATGTGTTTGATATGCACATAATTCCATGAATTGACCAAATTACCCTTCTCTTGCTATTTGAAATCTTTTAAAGTTTTGAACAAACATTTAGCAAATAAAATAGTTAACATGAACTCTGGATAATTAAACATTCATAACACTTTAAAACTACAAAAAAATAAAGTACAATGTACTTAACAATTATGTTTTTCGATACATTGGTATTTGTAATTAATATATAAAACACAATAGACATATGCTAATATATATATTGAAATAAAATTCAATTATGATAATAAACAAAAAGTAGCACAAAATAGAATTTTGGCATTATGGGGAATAACTAGATTGTTTTAGAAGATTTTTCATCAAGAGTAAGGTCATGTTTGATAACTTAATTCAGCACTTCAATTTAATAGATTCAAATCTTAATATGTTTAGACACGTTTGATAACAAAAAATTGAACATCCGAATTAATTAAGTGGCACTGAATTTTTTAGGCAAAATTTGCTCTGAAAAATAAGTGATAAGCTAGTCACTTATCACTGAATGTGATATATACTCAAATATATTTAATTTAATATTTAACAATTTAATAGTTTAATGAATTCAGATATCAAACTTTAGATTTCAATTTTTAGACTTTAGTTTTATCAAACACGCCTTAAGTAAATAAAATTTTGATAATGAAGAATGTGTAGGGTAATTTGGTCATTTGACAAAACCATACGTGTATGACTGATTTCAGCCAAAGATTGAGCTTTCTGATCCAATTATACCTGATTGCAAAAATTGTAATAACACTAAACCATATATGGTACACATGATTGATTTTTTCAAGGGTAAGTAACTAAATTTTTTCTTGTTAGGGGCTTGTGTTGTTGTGTAGGTGGTTGTGTGTTCAATTCTTGGTAGGGACACAAATGCTTCCTTTTTACTATATTAATAAATTAGGAATGGCATTGCATCCCTCTTCTGTGTTCGGAATTTTTTTCACAAAATAAAATTTTGATGATTAACTTGTGGGGTAACTAGCGGTCACTTGACCAAACCATGTGTGTTGCACATATATTGATTTCAGCCAAAGATTGAGCTCTTTGATCCAATTGTACTTGATTGTGAAAATTGTAATAACACAAAGAGTGGATCGGTTCAATTAATGTTCAGGGAGGTAATTTAGGAAAATTTACTTTTTAAAGGGGTTTATTGAAATTAACCCTAGGAAAATTTTGAAGGTTTAATATCAAAGTAGATGTTATGATTACTATGGTCTTTTTTTTTTTTTTTTTGGGAAAAAAAGAAAATGTACAATGGTTACCATTGTTTCAGACCATGACTTAGATAGGGACTCAAGGGCGGTATCTGAAATTATCCCTAAAAGTTATACAAGATGTGAATTTAGATTTTAGGAGTGTGGATTTAATATCACCCTTTTTAAAATTTGTTTTCGAGGACCTTACCGGAGGAGACCTCAGCCTGTTGAAGAGCTTCATGAACCTGTCCAATGAAAAGCACTACAAAAAAAGGACAATTTTCCATGGAAATCTGCACGTTAAGCAATAGAATTAAAATTGAAAGCAGATGCAAGGCCTCCTCCTTCAAGTCAGATTGGTTTCTTATATCATTAGAACAATTTGTCATGTCGTAATATAATAATTTTATCTTTCTTTTTGCCTTTATCTATTAGCCAATGATGTCCTTCTTGTTAGTTTACATGTGCCATTTCATCTCTCCAACTTTATAAAATTCGCCCGGAATTGTACGAAAAAACTTGAATCGAAAAAATAAAATTCAAATTCACAATGTAAGACGAACTTTGGTGGTGCTATATTTCGAATGATCACGTCTTCATATTGTGTGATTTCGCAAATATTGTGTGAGTCCTTAGTTTTTCACGAAGGTAGAGAGTTTACCGGTTGCAATAATAACTCTGTGTATGAATATGTGCATAAATACACAAAACTTCAGTTCTAGATGACCTTCACATTGGTGAAACTTTCATGAAAATCTCCATGTCAAAACCACGTTAATTTTTTTTTCATATGTTCAGTAAGTTGTATAAGAGGCTTATTATTTTCTTTTTGTCAGAAAAAGTTCGGGTGGATTTTGATTTCAATTATCATTATGAATCAGAATATGATTTGATTTTAGGACTATAAATCATTGATAGAAGTTCTTATAAATCATTCATCAATACAACTTTTACATAAACAGCCAATTTAACACATGATATTTTGTAAAAAAATAATCCACCCTCGCTAGAGATAAGCCAACTTGCGTTGGCTTCAAGGGGTCAATCAAAAACAAAGAGGTTATGATTTTGAGCAAGTTGTTCAAACTATTTGGACAAAAAGTAGAGAAAAATAAACGAATAAAAAATAGAATCATTGACTTTTTGCATATTCCGAAAGACCAAAACCAACCCCACGGAGTCCATACATTGGTTTGTGAGGCCACATGCTTCATTTTTCAATACAAGCTTTCAATTTTCTCTATGACTTGCTGAGTCTGAGTCTATAAGATCAGTTTTCTATGTCCACCAAAGATTTACCAATAAATTTTTTCATTATATATATATATAAATATATATATATATATATATAAGGAGTATTTTGCGTTAGTGTACACAAATTTTCATCTGCCTCATGGAGGGTAATTCAATAAATAAATTTATCATTATTTAATTGGTCAAGCAAATTGTACAAGTTTCTAATGTATGGGTATGTAGAAAATAACCATTTCACCCTTTATTTAGTGATGCAACATGCTGGGCACGTAGGGATCTAGTGTTTATGGTTAGTTTTTATCGAAAAATTTTGCTCTTAATTTTGTACACTAAACTGTTCCATTTGTGTAAAACAACTATTTTTTTTGGGTTAGAATTTCATAGTAATTAATCATTGAGGAGTTGTTAACGAGCATGGCGATTAGTGAAGGAATTTTGTGTGCTAACCGTTACTAGGGTAAATCTCTGTTTGCTTCAATTTTTGTATAAGCACAATTATGCAAATTTCATTACAACTTTTCATTATGTTTGAGCACAATTTTCTGATCCAAGTGGAAACTTTTACAAACATAAAACTGGGAGTGATTGACGTTTTACGTCTTAGAACAGAACCGGTGGAGTCCCTATCTAAGTCATAACTGCATCTGTGAGGCCACATGAACAGGTTGATTATTGAATGCAAGTTCATTGACTTCAGATTAAACAAATGCAAGTGCAAAGCTAAGAATAGGATAAAGAAAGATTAATATCAGCTAGATGTGAAATACACATTTGCAACAAAGTTTCTGCAAAGAAAAGGCCAAATTATCCGAGAAATTTCTAAAATTATGATGACTTTTAAAAAAATTCTACAAAGGGGGTATTTTGCGTATGGTTTTCTGTTTTTGAGGTCTTCGCATTTAGCAAATGCGAGTTGTTTGAGCTCGCATTTGCTAAATGCGAAGTCTCCCGAAATTATTCTCCAACCGAAATATAAAAAATAAAAAAAAACAGACCTTGCATTTGTGAAATGCGAGGTATATGACCTCGCA